GGAATTCTTTATACATCCAAGATCCTTTGTAAGATGTACCTACTACAGGTATCTTTGCTCCACTTGTGGCTTGTCTCTCCCCCACTCTGTATCACATGAAGAACAAAAGTTCTTATTTCAACATAGGCAAATTCATAGATCTTTTATGATTAGCACTTTAAATGTCTTCTTCAAAAAATCCCTCTCTCTCTTCAACTTAAGGTCACAGTGGTGTTTTTTTCTAAATTCTAAAGTTTTTACCTTTTATATTTATCTGGAGTTTTATATTTTTTACCTTTTATATTTTTACCTTTTATATTTATCTGATTTTTGTGATATGTATCCAAAATATAATGATTTTCAGTATTAAAAACTCACATTATGTTGAAATTACGAGGGAAACTCTGAGGAAATGATACTGGGACCCTCAAATATCCTTTTAAGAGGTTAACGCTAGGTCCCCTGCCCAATCTGTCCCCAAACTAGAGTGTAATTCTGATTACCAATAACTTTCATAGACCTATACAAGATTCACACACATGGCCTGAACCTTTTGCTTCTTCAAAGCACTAGCATACATGTTATTTAGTACAGTGTAGCTGATCAAAATAAATAACTTCTTTACACTTCATTTAAATCCTAACCAAGAGAAGCATCTCTAAACAGATTAAATTTACTTCAGTTCAGCAATGGGGACAAAAGGTATTATTCTAAAGCAGGACCCTCTTTACGTTTCAGCAGCCTCATGGTTGACCAAAATAGTTAGAAGTTATTAATACAAATGAGTAAGTAAAGGCAAAATTTGCCCCTAAGCCAAGATAACCACCTTCTCCCTCTAATAAAAAAAATAAGCCAAACAGTTCTCCAATACTGCTCCACTTTATTAAGGTTGACCACCATGATATTTATGTATCCAAATATTTATTACAGGTTTTCAGTGATGATTAGATTCTGAATTGTTTTTTCCGTAATTAATTTAGGCACATTGGTTTGCATTTTGTGGAAAACACTTATCTTTAGGGCATAGATAGGGACAAGTGTGATTTGCAAAGATGATTCCAAATCTCAGCTAACTTCTTCCCTAACTGCAACCACTCATTTAGTCTTTAATGACGACAGAGACCCAAAACAACTACTTACACATATCTGGGTGAGATTCTGGTGACTTAGAAATCTCTGAAAGAGGAGTAAGCTGCGATTGTTGAAGAGCTTAGAATACTGGCAAGGCTTAATTGCAAAGTATTTAACAGAAGGCCACAGTACTGTTTTCCTAAGAGGAGCTAGGAACTATAGATGTCATTTAGTAATGCATTGAAATGGCATTGCCTAGGATGAGTGTTGCACAGAAACTTCAGGTCACCTCTTCTCCATCTATTATTTTGGATAAGCTTCCACTATCATGGCATGGCCCTGTAAAGAAAAAAAGTTTAATTAGAGCAATGAATGGTGATGAATCTCACCAGTACAGAGGCAACAGAAAACAATGGGAAAAGTACAGGCTTTGGAGTTTGATCCTGGCTCTGCCATTCAATCACTGTGTGATCTTGGGCAAGTTTGTAGCCATTCTGAACCTCAATTTCCTCTATAAAATGGGGTTCATGATGTCTACTTCAGAGTTTTTGTGAACACTAAATTAAATAGCATATAGTGGCCAGGCACAGTGGCTCATGCCTGCAATCCCAGCACTTTGGGAGGCCAAGGCAGGAGGATTGCTCGTGGCCAGGAGTTCGAGACCAGCAAGGACAACACAGCAAGACCCCATCTCTGCAAAAAATAGGAATATTAGCTGGGTGTAGTGGCACACACATGTAGTCCAAGCTACTCAGGAGGCTGAAGTGGGAGGATCACTTGAGCCCAGGAGTTCAAAGTTACAATGAGCTGTGATCAGGCCACTGTACTCCAGCCTGGGTGACAGAATGAGATCCTATCTCTAAATAAATAGCATACAGTATATATGTGTGTGTGCATATATATACACATACATACCACAAAGACACACATATATTTATAGATATATACATGTATACATGTATACATATGTACATGTATATGTTAATATCTATATTTTGTACTATAATAGAGTATAGACTCTGTCTAGTACAAAGTCTAACTCCTAGTAGATGTGTTATAAATGGTTGCTATTAAAATAAGAAATGACAGGTGCTTTTTTAGCTGTACAAAATTAACACGATACAGTGAATGCCAGTAAGGTAAATTTCTAGATGAGAAAACTGAGACTTTAAAAGGTTAAGTGACTCACCCAAATCACCAAGTTATTAAGTAACAGAGCCAGGATTTGAAACCAGGTCTAGATGATTCCAAAGGCTGGACTCATCCCTTCTTCACTATTCTACACAGGTTAAGGAGATGATCTGAGGGACCATAAAGGGAAGAAGTAGAATATCTCTTCTCTCGCACTACACACAGTGCTATGTACTAGTTATGTCCTTAATTTAAACCTAGTGTAGAAATTTATGATTTCATGAGTCTAAATCTTTTCTGATAATCACACTCATTCTAACCTCTGGACTTCCATTAAACCAGTTAATAGCCTCACTAATCTCTCTGCTTCTAAGCTCAATTCAGTCCCCACAAATATTTATTATGGAACTAGTATTTATAAGGCCCCGAGGTGACCACTGTGTGGGTTTAAAGATTTGCTACATGGTTTCTGTCACCAATCTAGCACACGCTGTAATTCAAAACAGTTAAGTACTCTGAAAAGGCATAAGCAAACAAAAAAAGACCAGGGATGGGAAGGTGTGACTAACATGGGGTTTGTCCTAGAAGGATTCATAATAAGGTGGCATACTCTTCTCTAGCTTTATTTAAAATACCCTACTTTTACGCTCCATATTTTCTATTGCTCTAGGTCAGTGGTTCTCAACTAGGGGCGATTTAGCCTCTCACCCTCACCAGAGGACATGTGGCAATGTCTGGAGATAGCTTTCATTGTCCCAACTCTGTATGTATATGGGGCAGGGGTGGGGAGGAGTTTGTTGCTAGTGCTATCTAGTGGGTAAAGGCCACGCTAGACATCCTACGACACACTGTGCAGGCCCTCACAACAAAGAATTATCTGGCCCCAAATGTAAGTAGTGCCAAAGTTGAGAAACCCTGTTCTAGATCTATAACGACAGATCTTCCTCTGATCTCCTAATGATGTTGGTACCACTCATTTGACTCTTGACAAAACAGTGCCAAATTTCATCTAGTTTCTCAAATATATCATATCTTCTCTCCTTACTCTGCTATAAGCTTCTAGAAGAAAGGTACTAAGTATTATTCTTTGCTCATCCATAACAGCATCTAGTATACTCTATGTGCTAAAGAATTAGGGAATACATACTCAAATCAACAGACATTACCCTACATGAATTACACACTATGTTCATATGTAATATGTATGAGTTATCGCTCTAGTGGAAGCCTGGCACAGAGAGATAAGAGGGACAGCTTTAGCCTTAGGTGACCACAGCTTTCTTTAGATGAAGTTATACAGATTAAAAAACGTTTCTGATCATAAAGTCTAAGATGTTCCAACTTATCAATAACTGACCCCCTTATCTCTGCAAAGTCTCTAAGGTAAAGCCATAAATAAGGGCTTTTAAATGTAAGATGTTTATCCTTTTAAATATCTTATTTATTCATCTTGATTAGTAACAGAAAGATTCTGTAATCTGGAGGAAAAGAAAATCTGTTCATATCAGGATTTAAAAAAGCCCAAAAACCAATAGTCAGTCTTCCTTTTGGATTTTACTCCCGGAGTGAAATGTTATAGCATGTAGGAAGTTGGATCTATAATGCAGGTGATGTAGAGAAGGAAAAATCTGTCAGAATAATGTAATTTCCTCCAGCTGAACAGCAGTAAATCATCGAGTAAATTAACCCCCCAATTCAGGTATAATTCAGTTCTCCAGAAATACAGTTTATCTCTTGCAGAGATTTTATA